AAGCACTAGGAGCACGAGTCACATGAGGAATATAGCTAGTACGAGTATGCGTAGACAACTCACAAATCACACAATGAAACTTTGAATCTTTGCCAACTTTATTAAATGAGGGGGAAAAATTGATATAAATATTGAAAATTAATATGACCCATACGAGCGTGTTATAATTCTAAAGTTTGAATATTAAAAACACAAAACATGGAAGCAGGCAAAACAACGGCCTGAAAACTAGCTAAAGAAGAAGATGAAGGTTTGTCTTGTGGATCCCCAAAGTAGTATAACCCATAATGCTCATAGCCCTTGCCAAAAATTCTCTTCAAACTCAAGTCTTGTAAAAGGCAAACAGATAAGATATTATATACAAAATTTGGGACATGTAAAATAGATGATAAAGTAATGACAGGGTATATAGATACTACACCCTTATGACGAACAGAGGATAACGAACCATCAACAAGACACACAAATTGGGCAATAGGAGTAGGGACTGGTGAACAAAGAAATGAAAACTCACCCGTCATATAATCATTAGCCCTAGAATCTAGAACTCATGTGCGACTAGCAAACCGAACATGGAAAGCAGAAGAAATACTTATTGCAAGGATGGCAGCAATGGTAGATGATGGGCCAAGAGAACTGGCAGTAAGAGATCTAAGCTAATCCTAAAGATGACCAATCTAAGTCTGTAACTTCTGTAAATTAGGGAGATGAGAAGTCTTAGGAGCGAGAGTAGTGGAATCCATTAAAGCTGTTGTGCGAGGGGTGCTAGCACTATGAAGGGAGTGGCTCCAAGCGGCAAAATTTTTCGTATTCAACACCACACTCATAATACGATGAACAGAAGTGTGATGAAAAAGAGAAAAATTAGAACTAATTGGAACGTACTTGGTGGGTATATCAGCAAAGGATGGATCAATCATGATGGAAGAAGAGGGGCTGAAAAACACACAAAGATAGCAACACAATCCAAGAAAAAATAAGAAGTCAAAAAAAACTCAACGGCTTATCTAAATCGATGCTACCGAATAAATCCAGTAGTCCAAAAGAATAAAAAGACAGGCAAAGAGACTTAATACATCAGTCCAATCACCCCAAGAAGGGGGGAAAAAAAAAAACAACAACAACAGCCACAGACCACCTAAAGAGGCAGCTGAAGCACGTAAGACCAGATCCAAGTCTGGTTAGCAGTAACCAAAGCCTCAACAGGGATAAAGAAGGCCTATTGAGGTGAAGACAAGGAAGGAGAGGGGCAGCAAAGGCTGGATTGAGGCTGTTGGAGGAAGAGAGAAGAAAAAAGACAGTCAATGGTGATAGGTGGTTGAGAGAGAGATGGCTGGGGAGGCTCTGATACCAAAAAGAATGAAAAGAATTATTTGGCTTACTAATAGAGGCCATGTATATATAATATATTCATGATATAATTTAGAAAATAATATACACAGGGTAAGATTCTTATAATGGAAATAATTCATATTCTAATTTCCATATTCTAATTTCTATATTCAAACATAATATTTTGATTTTTATATTCAACAATAATGTATGCATATATATATATATATATGTATGTATATACCATAAAACTAAGATAGGGATAATAATCTCTCTATCTCTTTCAATAAAATATATTATTACAAATGAAAAGTGTGTATAGAATTAAATTTGGTTACATTTCTTCCTAACCTTTTGAAAAGTTTACATTTCATAATATTAATCTTTGGATTAGATTTTATTTTCATAATAATCATTATACTTTCAAAATTATCAAAGTCAATAAAGGTTTAGTGCTATCCCATCTACGAACTCACATTTCTCATTACTTTGCATGTTTCATTTTTTCAAAAACACTTTTCAGAAAATTCTATTTTCTTGTTTTTCGTATTTTTTTGTTTTTATTGAATTTTTTTAATATTTTAAGCAATTTTTTTAATTTTTAGACATATCTAACATAAATATATCTAAAGAGTAAAAAATTTGTGAAAAACCCTTTTAAAAATTCACTAAATACCAAAAATATAAAAAAAAATACGAGAATTCAATACATTTTTTTGTATTTATTAATTTTTAAAATATTTTTTACAAATTTTTTACTTTTTAGATACATCTAAGTAAGGTGCATCTAAAAAAGTAAAAAAATATTTAAAATTTAAAGAATATTCACTAAAAAGAAAAAAATACGAAAACCAAAAAAATTCAATTTTCAAAAAACTTAATCCAAAAAATTCAAACCAAACACACTGATATCTTTGGATCCCTACTAGATGTCATGCAACACATCATGATGTGTTTAAAAATCTTTTATTTTTTAATTTATTTTTTTTATATTATAGATTTGATAGGTTTAACATTGAAAAGGTAAATTACACTTACACTCATTGAGATTTGAATTTAATACATATCACTTCCTGACGTTTGAAAAATTACACTGACCCCCTATCATTATAATTATTTAGACGGAATTAATGTTGGTATTAAAAAGATATTGAATTCATACACTATCTCTTTTTCTTGCTTTGCTTTACTTCTTTTTCTTTTTTTTTTTCTTTTTTTTACTTCATGTTTTTTTTTAAATATAATTTTTTCTATTTTTTTACCAGAAGTTATAGCGGTCCTGGTATTTCCTGTTGTTGTTTAACTGTAATCCGGACTCGGTTCCGTAGAATCGTTGTTGTCTTACCCTCTTTCTAGCCCTTTCTCTATGTGTTCGTGCTTTGGGTTGTGTGGATCTTTTGTATATAAATGTATGTTTATATTGATGGGTTTGATGTTATTTTTTTTTAGGGCGTTACAGTTATTGCCTTTTATATAAGTAGGAAGATTTGTTAAATGAGATGATTAACAATAGAGGTGAGAATGTAATTTTTCAAATGTTAAGGGTAATATGTATTAAATTCAAATTTCAAGGGTGTCATATAGTATAACCAAATTGAATTTACTCATTTTAAATCCATAAAAAAAAAATTCAAGCTAGATTGGTGTATGGTAAGGATGCGAAAATTTATTTATGTATTTATTTATTGGTCTCGAGTGAAAATCTATCAATGTATTGAATTTGGGCCAGGGACCTTGCCGAGCTCAGCTCGATAGACAGGCCCAAATAATCTGATTCACCAAAATGCCGGATTTCAGAACTAGACAGATATATACTTTAGTGGCCCAACACATTTGATTCACCAAACGGCCCAGGGTTTAACTGCCGAAACCCTGATCTCAAATCCAATTGAGCGACGAGGAACATCAAGCAGCGACATTCTCTTCGATGAGATTGTGATCAAGGAGATGTTTGGTTTGTTGGATTTATTTTCTAGTATGACCCAATAGCCTACATATTTTTTACATGTTTTAATTTACTTGGACTCCACAATTCGATAAAGCCAATATTATATATAAAGTTCAGTAATTAGAATTTTAATATAATCACTTTTCTAAGATAAGAAGGAAACCTTGATGGATTAGGAATTCTTCTGATAGAGTTTATCTGGCCCTCTTCTCTCCTCTATATAAGGATGGGTGACTCCCCTTTCATATCATAAGTATTTTCCATCACTCTAAGTTTTATAATCATCCTAATTGAGAGAGACAGAGAGAAGAAGGTGAGTCAAGAATTAAAGGTTCAACTATTAGGGGTATTTTCTCAACTTCTCTAATTCAATGGCTGACAAAGGTATGTTTGTTTTATTCTTGAGCTGTATTGAATTCAAGATCCTATGAAATTTAATTCCGTATTATTATGGTTACATGTATTGTTAAAACTTACATGTGGTATCAGAGCTTGAGTTTTGTGAATCAATACACCTTGGAATAATAATATATTTATGATACTGTTATTAATAAACAGTACCTTTGTTTTATTAAAAGTATTGACTTTAAAATTTTATCTCAATTTGTTGATCAAACGTATAATACACCTTTTTTTTTATTTTTTTTTTATTTTGTTATGCTGATAACATGTCCTATGCCCAATATATATATATGTATATATATATATATATTGTATTCTAGGCATACTTGTATCTATTAATTTTCTTGCATGTTTGCGTCAGAATGTTTATACGCAACCTACTGCTATTTAGTTAGTCATGTTATGGTACATATTTACGTATATATATATATATATATTGTATATCTCTATAAACGTGCGCATACACACATGCATGTAGTGTAGTTGTTTGGGTGTTTATACGTGTAATTTTTGATATCATGATATAATTTTATGACATTGAATATTAAATATTAAAGTGGTTAATTCATATTAGATGTAATTCTTATTAACCATTATATGAGATATTCATGATTGTTATATTACATGTTTTTGATATATAAATATTCATGTTCGTCCAGAGTTATTATTATTATTATTATATTGGTAATTGTAATCACATAAAAGAAATTTTAGAAATCATAAAATAGTGATTTCATTAAAATTGTGATTGAATTAATGATAATTAAATAACTCAAATTAATGAATAGAGAATATTGTTGGTTAGTTCCGTATTCATAGGGTTTACTAATTTAGTAGCTGCCAAAATGGCCTAGATTTGTAAAACTTATGAATATAGAACTATATAAAAGAATTGTTAAAAGGGTAACATTAAGGTCGATAATATTCTCAATTGCAGTTATAATTAGGAGATTGAGACTAGCCCAAAAGAGAGTCACTTTCAAATAATTATAAACTGGGTAGGATAATGTAACTTATGTAATTTGACAGATTAGAATTGAATACCCAAAGGTAACATGACTAGCTGGAAAATTGCATAAATTATTTTAGACCTACATAAGTGATTCTTGACGAGTGGACAATAGATATACCTAAGTTTTGCCCAAAGGAAAGACTTATGTGATATCAATAGTTCATCATAATTCTCAAAGCTTTAATATGTATATTGTTCTATCTTATTTCAGTGAAAGTTCCCACCTCATTGCACTCTCTTGCATCGGGCGTCCCTCTGCTTACTGGCTCGAATTTTTTGGAATGGTATAAACATGTTCAATTTACGATGGGTGTGTTGGACCTCGATATGACATTGCTTAAAGATAAACCTGTAGACATTAATGAATATAGTACTGCAGAACAAGTTGCCCTTTCTGAATCTTGGAAAAGGTCCAGTAGACTCAGCTTGATGTTCATGAAGATGACCATTGCAAAGAACATTAAGACCTCCTTACCTCAAACTGTTAATGCATTGGAATACTTAAAGGCTGTTGAAGATCGATTTAGATCTGCTGACAAGTCACTTGCTGGCACTATTATGGCTGAATTGACAACAATGAAATATGATGGTAACCGAGGAGTTCAGGATTACATCCTCAATATGGCTGACAAAGCTGCAAAGCTTAAAACTTTAGGAATGCAAGTTGATGAAACTTTTCCCATGCAGTTTATTCTCAACTCACTTCCATCACAGTTCAGCGCATTCAAAATTCACTATAACACCAATAAAGAAAAGTGGAGTTTGAATGAGCTGACTAATATGTGTGTTCAGGAGGAAGTGAGGTTGGGGGAGGAAGGACGTCAAATTGCATTGGCTGTAACTCATGGAGCTATAAAGAAAAAGAAGGGAAAGTTTGTAAAATCAAAGAAAAATCCACCAAAGAAAAAGAATGAACCTGGGGAAGAAAATCAGGCTCTGAATGGTTTCACTGTCAAGTGCTACTTTTGTGGCAAGAAGGGACATGTGAAGAAAGACTGCAGTAAGCGAAAGGCTTGGTTCGAACAAAAAGGTAAGAAATTTTCTTTTGTTTGTTATGAATCAAATCTTGCCGAAGTACCCTCTAATACGTGGTGGATTTACTCTGGAGCCACGACCCACATTACAAATGACTTGCAGGGATACCTCTCAACCAGGAAACCAAAAAAAAATGAAAGATTTGTCTATATAGGGAATTGTCTCAAAGCTGAAGTCGTAGCTGTAGGAACCTATCGACTGATCTTCGAGCCGGGTCATCAGATGGATCTAGAAGACACTTTTTATGTTCCTTCAATTTCTAGGAATTTAGTTTCGTTATCCAAATTAGATTGTGTTGGATATTCAATTTTATTTAATTGTGGAAAACTCAATTTAATGTTTGATTCAAAACGAAGTACCATCACCTCTCTAACACATTTCAGACAGCTGATGATGATCTCCTAAAAAGCTTTTGACTTTCAGGCATAAATGAACATCAATGTGATCCCCAACAAATACAAAGTTAGTGAAACCGCCTTATCTTCCCAAGTTATAAGCCCTTGCAAGGTCAGATGGTTAGGAAAAAGGAATAAAACTCACACAAACATTTGCCAAGTATAATTCTTTGTAAATGTAATTTGAAATAAGTGGAATGAAGGCATTTTCAAGTTGTGACCAAAAAGCATTCAAAATTGAAAAGCATGCAATGCAGGTGTAGAAAATGTACACAGCATAATAAAATAAAATAACTACATAACTTAGCAGGCCACATATTATTACATGTCTCATCATGGTGATTGTTAGTATGCCATCCCCTAAACTATTGGTGGATGGCCCTATCCCAAACATAAGAAACAATTCCAATTTTTTTTTGCATAAATCAGCACTGATACCTATTCCTACCTTATATTGCCAATTTCAATTATCCAGACTCAAAAACATGAATCTGCCATTTGATTTGAATTAATTTTGTATCCTTATCTTTTCTACACGTGTCCACTTTGACCCCTTATTGCTCTTTTATCACATTCAGCTCATAGTTCCATGTAAAATAGAGATGCATTTCATTCAAATTGACTAGGCCTGACATCATGAAACTCCACAAGCAAAACCAAAAAGATAATAGCTAGCAAGCTAGCAGAGGCAATGAAAAACATACATAATCAATCTGTAACAAAGTGAACAAAACCCAGTTTACAAACTGAAGATAGTAATAGTAAATCAATTTTTACCACTTGGAAGATAAATGCACATAAGTAGGTCCAGTAAATCTTTTCAAAAACAATAATTTACCAACTCTATGCCAACATAAGCTGTAATTTCTTCTAGATTTGATTGCCAACAAAATAGTGCTCATCAAGCCTTGTTATGGGAGTGAGATGATTAAAGAATCAGATCTGTATGTTAGGTTGGATTATGAGGTGGTCCAAGTCAACTTGTTTGATACCAACTCTTTTATCCGAGGACAACATGACAACTGTTCCAGGCTTCCAACATTGTTTAATTTTGTTATTCTATCTCTCTCTCTCTCTCTCTCTCTCTCTCTCTCTCTCTCTCTCTCATTATTATGATTATTATGAATTTTTTTGGTGGAGTTGAAGGGAGGGAATGAAGTCGTTTATTCAAGTGATAAAGTTGTGTTGGGAATGTCCATATGTAGTCAATTTTAGAATAAATGAATAACAAATAGATGATACAAGTATTGGAAGACAAATAGAAGTGCTTAGCACACTTGTTGATGTATCTAGCATGGTGAAATCCAGCTGTTCTTGTTTCATGAAGTATTAAATGTGTTCCCCTTTCTTTGATTAGTTGATAAATCAGTAGCATGATTGGATCATACAAGCCATTAAACTACCCAATGCCGTAAACCTAAATTGCTTCGGAAGTAATGTTATGTATATCCATGTTAATAACTGTCTTTAACTTATACAGATATTGATCCTCAAATTGAACTCATCTCCCTTGAATTGGTGCAGATAGGTGGGTTCGCTTCTGGCCAAGATATGGTAGTTGGGTCAATCCATCTCATGAAAGCCTCTAACAAAATTTGTCAGATGTGTCACAACGCAAAGGACAACTTAGTTTTGAGGAAGTGCATTTCTTGGTCGACTTGAAGAGAACTTGTATCCTGCTTGTATGGGATCATTTTGTGTGTTTGACTTTTATGATTTTACAGCATAAATTCCTGTAACTTCTGGAGAGTTCTTTTAAACTTAAAAATAGAATATTTAAATTTCGTGTATTATTCAGCTGCATACTTTGCCGTTGAAGGTCTGTAATATAATTTGAGTAAAAAGATAATAGAGAATGATTGTAACCGAAAAATTGTTCATTCTAGAGGAGGATGGTTTACATTATATTGGAAACACTTGCACTGCAATAGCCAGAAATCAACAAGAGAGGGTTCCTCTTCCCCAAATTTTCAGGAGCATACCATAAAGCTTTTAGTGGTGTTTTGAGAAGTCGGTAAAAAATTGATTTTCTTGACTTCTTTTGTCTATTTTGTTTTTTTATGGGTAAAAAATGTGAGAGGTGATGTAACTCAAAATGGGTAAAAAACTAAAAGTTGACTTTTCTCTTGAAATGCAAGTACTGTTGACTCAATGATGCTAGGCTGATCACATTTTCTTTGTCACATTATGTTTATTATATTATCTCATCTCATGTGGCAACACTGTATTGGTGTAATAGCTCAATCACCATGTCTATGTTTTTTTTAATGCAGTGATGACTCCCGAGATGATAAACATAATGTGATAATAAAATATGATAATCATTGCATTATGGCTTGTTTATCGGCATAGATTTCTTGTACAGAAAATCATTTTTCCCCTATACCTAGAACAATTTTAACCGTTTATTTTTATCACACCGAACAATTAAAAGTTTATTAAATGTAAGAAATACGGATTTTTGGTGTAGATTTTATCACATATTTGAGCACATGGGTTAGACATAAAGACATAGAACCGGACGCAAAGGCCTTTTTTCATGAGGGACTTGAACCCAAAGGCCTTTTTTCATGAGGGACTTGAAGGACATTTCATATGCTTTGAGGCTACAAATCATGCTTTATGGTTGCGAAATTTCATCTCAGGACTTGGTGTTGTTGACTCAATTGCCAGGCCGCTGAAGATATATTGTGACAATACCGCAACAGTTTTCTTCTCTAAGAATGGAAAGTACTCTAGTGGTTCCAAACACATGAAAGTAAAGTACTTAGTTGTTAAAGAAAGAGTCCAGAAACAACAAGTGTTAATTGAAAACTTAAGCACCTCTCTTATGATTGCTGATCCATTCACAAAGGGATTGCCACCAAAGACATACAAAGAGCATGTTATCAGGATGGGTCTTTTAAGCAACCCTTGATGTGTATGGTTAATCCTGAGTGCTTATTTTTATTTGACACTATTTGCGCAATAATAATTTTGTTTCTATTTTTCCTGTTTCTAAAAATGTGTGTACACATTAAATTGAATATTGATAAACAGGAAATGTCTTAACAAGACATTACAGGGGCCTTTCAGGAAAATAATTATATATCCCGATAATGGACTGGGTTGGTGAAGGTTATCGATGGTGTAGTGCATAGAAGGAAATATGACATAAATGTTATATAACCGCTATGACTCACATTGGTGATCTGAAGTAATCACAGTATTATAGTTTCTAATATATCTGAACTTATTGGCTATTTTTAAAATTCGTGATCACGTGTCAAAGTTTTTAGTGTAGAATCCAATGAGTCAAAAATGTTTATACGTTGCATGTTTTTTGGGAAAACTCATAATCGCATCATAATCGGCTTAATGGGCCAAGTGGGAGAATGTTAAATTTATTTTCTAGTATGGCCCAATAGCCTACATATTTTTTACATGTTTTAATTTACCTGGACTCCACAATTAGATAAAGCCAATATTATATATAAAGTTCAGTAATTAGAATTTTAATATAATCACTCTTCTAAGATAAGAATGAAAAGGAATTCTTCTGATAGAGTTTATCTGGCCTTCTTCTCTCCTCTATATAAGGATGGGTGACTCCCTTTTCATATCATAAGTATTTTCCATCACTCTAAGTTTTATAGTCATCCTAATTGAGAGACAGAGAAGAAGGTGAGCTAGAATTAAAGGTTCAACTATTAGGGGTATTTTCTCAACTTCTCTAATTCAATGGCTGACAAAAATATATTTATTTTATTCTTAAGTTATATTAAATTCAAGATCCTATGAAATTTAATTTCGTATTATTATAGTTACATGTATTATTAAAACTTACATGGTTGTCAAGAAAACGAAGGAAAAAGGAAATAATGAACCTAACAGCAGCCACCTCCAAATCCGAACTCTGTTTGGTTAAAACAGAGGAAGAAGAAAAAGAAAATTTGGCAACTTTGCAGCAAAGTTAGGGTTTAGGCGGCCGTCGTTACGTTCATTTCTTGTTTCCTATGTCTCCGCCAATTCATTCTAAAAATTTTCTCGATCCCCTGGTTAGTATAAAATTGTTTGCTGAAGTATTTTATTTTATTTTATTTTTTTGTCATTTAAATTATTTGATTGGCAATGGATGGTATTACATCGAAGTTCTGTATTTTTACTTTTGTTCGGTAATCATATAATGTGATCATTTTAATACTCATCTCCATTGCAATTAGTGTTGGTTAAAACTGCCTCAGATGTTGTTTATAAGAATTGTTTGATTAAATTAGGTGATTGCTATGTCTATGACTATATGCATTGATTTTAATAGCTGATTATAAGGAACACTCAAGGTTCTTAATTTGAAAAAAAGGGGGGCAATTTTAGGTACATTTGATATGCTAGGTAACTTTATTACACATAAGCAAGTTTTTTCTTTTGTTATTTTCCCATTATTAAATGAATATTAGGTTCTCAAACATTGAAAAATATGATCTTTTGATTCTTAATGTTTGGTAGATTTATGTGTTTATGTTCGTGAAGAATGCTAAGAAGCAGGCTAATATATGGGAAAGGCACATATTGTAAACAGGCAATTGAAAAGCTGTAAAGTTTTGAAAAATTAAGTAAGCTAAGCTAAGTAATCGAATAAAGACAGAGGCTGTATGTTTGTACTTTGTGATCGATGTCTATTTGGATAGTTACATCTTTTGGCTTCAGTCAACTTAATCCAACTGTTGAAATCTTCTCCTATGTCTACATTGTGCTGTGATTTCCACATCTCTTGTGTGTGTTCTTCTTTTTCTTCTTTATTTTTTTTTCAGGGTAAGTGGGGAGGGAGTCTATGTTGAAATCTTCTTTATTTTACTTTTTTTCAGTATCCTTCAGCTACTCAGTGGATGAAATATATCATTTGCAGACTCTTCACTGATTTGATCCTTTGTTGACTTCTATGGTAGTAACCTTCTCATCTAGAAAGAAAATTAGTCAGCAAGCTTAAAAGACAATGGTAAAAAGACACAATTTCACCCTAAGGATGTAATACGTAAAAAAATGCCAGTTTTTAATATATTGGCATCTTCAAATTAATCCAACAGTAGATAAATCCCACTAAATGATTAAATTAACTGTGTCATTATACTACTCGAAACAATGAGAACTTCAACAGGAGTATGACATAGATAATATATGAAACTCAAATGAGGAAAATATAATTATTCAATTCTTAATCTAGGACAAGAATAACCAAAATTAATAGAACCACACAAAACAAAAGAAAAACAAAGCCTTCGAACATATGACTAAATGTGGTGTCCTAGCCAAATAGTAACTTTGAGCAACTCTCAATGAAATCAGGCTTAACATATTCCACTCCAACTATACTTGGCACTAAACAATGACGCAAGTCCGGACAAAATTACACTAATTCCATCTTTTGAAGTAACTACAAGGAATGAGACAAGGCAATTGCAGGTTGTGACTGCAAAGAGGCCCCTAAAAATAAATGCAAGAACATGCCCTATACAAAGAAGCAGGCATATATGGAGACAAAGAGAGACAAACATTGCGTAGTTATTATTTGTATCTGTGGTCTCCAAGCGAAGTACCATCACCTCTCTAACACATTTCAGACAGCTGATGATGATCTCCTAAAAAGCTTTTGACTTTCAGGCATAAATGAACATCAATGTGATCCCCAACAAATACAAAGTTAGTGAAACCGCCTTATCTTCCCAAGTTATAAGCCCTTGCAAGGTCAGATGGTTAGGAAAAATGAATAGAACTAACACAAACATCTGCCAAGTATAATTCTTTGTAAATGTAATTTGAAAGAAGTGGAATGAAGATATTTTCAAGTTGTAACCTAAAAGCATTCAAAATTGAAAAGCATGCAATGCAGGTGCAGAAAATATACACAGCATAATAAAATAAAATAACTACATAACTTAGCAGGCCACATATTATTACATATCTCATGATGGTGATTGTTAGTATGTCATCCCCTAAACTATTGGTGGATGGCCCTATCCCAAACATAAGAAACAATTCCATTTTTTTTTTTGCATAAATCAGCACTGATACCTATTCCTACCTTATATTGCCAATTTCAATTATCCAAACTCAAAAACATGAATCTGCCATTTGATTTGAATTAAGTTTGTATCCTTATCTTTTCTACGCGTGTCCACTTTGACCCCTTATTGCTCTTTTATCACATTCAGCTCATAGTTCCATGTAAAATAGAGATGCATTTCATCCAAATTGACTAGGACTGTGTAGCACGTCCCCGAACGCCCCGGGCGGGTGAGCTCCCGTTCTGTTCATTTTGGGGTCACTACAGTTCGGACTCGATTAATCGTTACGGTTCTTAATCTTGAACCAAAGAGTCCAAATTCGGCAAATCGTTTTGAGAAATAGATTTTTGAAAAGAAGTGCCAAACATGGACTGCTTTGCCAGATACAGAGTCGCCACCTAAATATTTTTTTCGGGGGAATTTAGGAAACCCTGACTCGGTGCCGA